TTTGCAAAAACCTCTTTTCTTTCACTGGTCTAACAGAGGAATTTTGGCACCAGGTGGCACTATCATCTGGCCATCCTTTACCAACAAATCAAATATTTCATCACATTTTGTTACATCGAAAGTGTATGTTTTCTTAGGGAATTTGTCGTTCTTTTCTGGTTCTACAGGATTCTTCCCGTTCGAAGGGGTTAGAACTTTGCAAGGATATGGTGGGCCTTGCTTTAATTTAGCCAGGTCCACTTCACATTCGTCAAAGTCTAAGAAATCGTTGCAGGCTTCTTGTTCATCTACACTGGTTTCGACATATGCAACTCTTTCTTTTCTATGGCTTTTGTTTATTCTAGCTTTTTCGATTTTTAAGCGCTCCACTTGTCGAACCCTGTCTGCCAATTTGGCCATATCTCTTAAGTAGTGAGGAACAACTTCTTCCTAATGGAGAAATCTAATCCTCTTGTTACCATCTCAACTAACTCGTGTTCAGGCATCTGGACAAAGCATCTTGCATTTAACAGAGGGAACCTGTTGAGGTAATCATCAATTGGCTCGCTAAACTTGCTCTTGATGCTGGCCAATTCACTTAGGCTTATCTTTGATTGACCTACATAAAATTGTTCATGAAACAACCTTTCTAAACAAGTCTAATATTGGATAGAATTCGCTGCAAAGATAGTGAAGCGTGAGAAAACATTTTTGGTTAGTGAATTAGGAAAATATTTTATCCTTAAGTTTTCATTATTCCCTATGTCCCCAGCCTCAGTAAGGTACCTGACTATATGTTTGACTATTGATTTGCTGGTGTCACCAGATAATTTTGTGAACCTTGGGACTTTCCAACCCCTGGGCAATTCAGTTTGCAAAATATATTCAGATAAAGGAGAAGTGTAATTCGGCCTACTAAGGCCAATATTTACACCATTTTGTTCCATAATTCTTTCGACCATGCCTGCCAAATTGTTATCTGCTACCATGTTGTCATGTCGAACTTGATATATAACTTCATCGACATTTTGATTTCTATTTACCATCATAACTCTAGGTACTGGTTCCCTTAGAATTCGTGGTTCCTACCTAAAAGGTTCGGCTCTAGGTATTTCGATATTCGCAACTCTAGGCACTTCGACTACCCATCCCTGATTTACCACATTCTCCTATGGTGCATTTCTTTGATTATGTTGAACTTGGTTAATTGTTAGGTCTTCTTCAAAGACTACCCCTTGATTTTCCATAACCCACTCCCTCTGAGGACGTGGTGGGGGTTGAGGCACACCAAAGAATTCATCTATGCGCATCATTTGCGCAGCAATTTGTTGGTTCACTTGTGTGGTGTTTTGAATTAAAGGGTTAAAGATTGTACTCATTATTTGTGAAAGCATTTGGACCATTTCATAGTTACTTTCATCCATTTATTGTCTAATCACTACTGCATAGTGATTTGTTAAATTTGGCATTTGGGAAGAAACTCCTTCTACTTGTGGTTGGACATTTCGACCCCTGTTATTAACAACAGTTCTAGAACCTTATAATGGTGAAGTAACCTTCATCACAAGATCTGAGTATGTTGAAGTGAAATTATGTAAACCCATTATAACCGAAGATGGCATGCTGTAAGGCCGTTCACGACCATTTAGAGGCGTGGAAAAACCAGGAAGCTCCTCAGGCCTATGGAAAGTATTTCCCCCTGGAGGGGGATCCCTTGTAGACCATGTGGTCCTATATATATCAAAATAGGGCCAGTATAAGCGTTCGACTGTGTTGGCATCGAACTTGTTGAAGATGATATAGCCTGCGAAAAAGGCGCATAAACCATAGTTCCCCCTGTCGAAGTGGCCGGGGGTGGTACTTCTTCATTGCTAGGAGGATCTGATTACCTGTCTGGCTTTGGTTTTCCAGTTTTCTAACAACATATAAAAATACAAAAGGATGATGAAGATTTTCAAAAAACTTTTTACTAGAACAAAATATTTGTTAATTGAACACAAGTCCCACCAGGCATGCCAATTTATTTACTGTGAAATTTGGTAAACAACTGTTGGTCTTCCAAATCAAAGAAAAGATTGGTGACTTGAAGAATCGATCAGATTGATCCTAAGGACATGTGTTTTTATTCAAACTTTTGTTCTTGAAAAACAAAGAATACTTTAGACAATATTCATAATCTTTTAAATAGTACGGATTTTGATTGTTACTTCGAGGGTAGTAATTACGTTTTAAAGAAAAGACTGGTATAAAAAATACTTTTGATTTAAACTTAAAAGGAACGTATAAACTTCAATTGAAAATGAATGGCAATAAACATAAAATTGGTGCATCATAGATACATTTTCACAACTCGTTTCTGGACCACTAGTACTTTGAGTAATTTAGAGTAATTTGTAGAAAGATCTGAACATACGAATCATATTGCTAAGACTCCTATTTATACTATTTCATCCCTAACGGTCAACTACTGAAACAACGCCACGTTCGTTGCTGCATGTTCTTCGAATCTCTTCAGACCTCCACGCATCTCTTTGGGTAAGATCAAACTTTCAAATTTTAAAATCCTTTTGTCTTCGAAGCGCCAAACAGTATAGTCGCACAAGAACATTTGTTGTCTCTGGCAACACTTAGAAAACGTTGCAAGAACTCTGAAAATCGTTGCTAAAAGAATAAGGGACGTTTTCTAGGCGTCTCCTGTGCAAGCGTTGCCTATTGTCTAAGGGGACATTTTTTCATGTTCTTTGGGCACGCTTTTTATAATCGTCGCCTAAACAAATGGATTAGGGGACGATTATTTGTGGCCTTTAAGGCAACGTTTTTTAAGCATTGCCATTTGCGGCTATAATTAGTAAGCATTGCCTTAAATATGAATTAGGAGGATCATTTTTAAAGTGTAGTCATAACTTATAGGTTGTTCTTTTACAATGTCACCATAAAAAATATTTACTATAACTTAAACAAGATCAAATGTAACGGTACTTCCACAAAAGTTGTATTATAATAAAATCGAGTTCAAACATTAATTCAAGATCGTATCCGGTAAACAAAATGCCTAACGTAATACATAATTTCTTTAAGTCTAATGCTTATGAACAAGTCTAAAACAACAACATCCAATTCATTCAAGTTTGTCAAACTCATCATCATCTTCATTGCCCTCTTCATCATATATGTCATCCTCTTGAAGCTCGTCACCCATGTCGTTCTCTTGAAGTTCTTCACATAATTCATCTTTATCACTTGAATCGTCTGCATGAAATTGGTCACTTACGACATCGTCCTCGTCAACATCTTCATTGATACCTTGTTACATAAGAAAATGAAAACAAATCAACCAAAACAATTCTTACAAAAATCTAAGCCACTACCTTTTTTAACAACAAATATATTATTAACAAGATAGAATTCTCCAACTAAGTCATCTGATCCAAACAAGAAATGGAAATCATCCAATCCCAACAACTAACCAAACAATTAAAATTATAAATGAATGTAACTTTACGATGTTAACCCATTGGAGTGTACATAAGCATTGATTTTTCCAATCACAAGTGGAATACATACAAAAATAAATTCTAAATTACTATATAAACAAAATATTTACATGATTCAACCAGAGATGCATCAAACTAACTATATAAGTTTATATATTTTTCAATTCAAATCAATTGAAATTTTCTACATTCCACCTACACGCATCAGAGAGAATCCTTCATGTTGAAATTAATATATAATCTTACCCAAAAAAAAGTTAATCTATAAAAAACTCTAAATTTTCTTGGTGGTTTATTATAGAAGTAAAGGTATTTCATTTTGTGAATCCATTTATTTCATTTCAAGTCAAAACCAACAAAAACATGTCATGGTATCCATTCATGAATTAAGATATTTGCAACAAAAAAAAGTAATTGTTGGAGCATATATTGACATTAATAATGCAGCTTTATTTAAAGGTAAAGAAAAATTATTGCACTATGTAGATAAGAAAATGGCATACACATCAAGCGTAATTATTTTCACAATCAATTATTTGCTAATCTTTATTTGATAAGCATAACTTAATAACATGAAAAAAAACTAAGTTCTTATCATGAGTCAGTAAAACAATAGAAACCTATACTACAAGTTTTCAGAGAAAGAATTCAAAAAACATGCATCTTTTTGACAATATCATGAGTCAGTAAAAGAATAGAAAGCTATACTACAAGTATACATAAACCCAAAATAAATAACAATGATCAGAACTTTTAAGTTCTTATCAGATTGAACATACATAAGTTTCAACCAAAACAAAAAAATAAAAAAAATTAATTATAGACATTATCATTTATAAGCCAAGACCACCCTTTTTGTTTTTAGAAGATGTTATGCAAACATGGAGATCAAAATCAGTTGAGCTTCAAAGAATTTCAATTTAATAGAATTTATGTACTAGGAGTTACACACTGACAATGTGGCACCATACCATTCTGTGAGGTAGACCTTAAATTGCATCATCTGATTATATATAACAAACAACATTCACTCAACAACAATCAGTCTATAAAGACAGTATACAAACATCTAACGACCCAATTCATTCATACGATGCAGTGTCGGTAACAGCATACATTATCTATTTCCATGCTTCATATCTTCTCGCTTTTTTAGCACAAACAATAACTACACAAAATGGAAAATAGTGAAATAATGAAGAATCTAAACTATGCCTCGTGTCTCGGTTCTTTCTGAAATAGAAAATAGTGAAGAACCGAAAAATATAAAGATTCACATATTGAAACAAAAAGATTCACGCATTAAAACATAAATCAGACCATAAAACCAGTCAACAAATCGACATAACTAAAATTGCTTTGAAACTTACAGAAAATGAAGACACAAAGATGATAGCAACAGAATATGACCAGCGGCACACTCACAGCAAACGACGACCAGCACCATTAAGAGTTTCTGAAATTTTGATTAGGAATATGAGGGAAATCGGCTATTTCAATTTTAGTTATAAGGGGCAAAGATTTCGATTAAGGTGGTGAAGGTAAAAACAATTTCGATGGTGAAAGTTGAAATTGATTTGGGTTTTGAAGGTGAAAATCAATTTGGGTTCTCAGGTTGAAATTAAAATTGGATTTGAATTCTGAAGTTAAAAAAGAACTTAGGTTCTGGGGCGAAATTGATTTCCCTTCAGTGAAAATCGATTTGGGTTTTAAGGTTGAAAACAAAATTGGAGTTGAGATCTGATGTTCAAATAATTTGGGTTCTGAAGAGATTTCTCTTTGGTGAAAATCGATTTGGGATCTCATATTGAAAACAAGAATGAAATACAAAATCAATTTGTGTTCAAAAATGATATCGATTTCGAAAAGGAAGGTTGAAATTAAAAGAGAATGAAAAACCTAAATCAAATTTGGGTTCAATGAAAAAAATATGAGAAAGAGTAACGATGGTTTCATTTGTTTTAGGAACGGTTTTTTGATAAAGATTTTATCTCTTAACAAATATTAATATTATTATTATGTTTATATTATTTTATTATTATTTTGTTTTGTAAAAATAATTATATAATATTAATTATATAAAATCTTACGTAACATTAAAACTATTAATTTAAATTTATAAAATAAATAATCAGTGTTATATTTTTAATTAAACATTCTAAGTTTTACTAATAAATAACAGTAAATAAGCGTGAACATATTTTCAAGAAAATTGTTATCAAACTTTTCATTAATATTTTATTTATGACGAGAAAAAATTATATCTTTTTATTAAAGTATTTTATATAAAAAAAAAAAAAAAAATATATATATATATATATATATATATATATATATATATATATATATATATATATATGTTTAAAAGGAAGATTGCAATCCACATCTTTATTAATATTAAAGTTTTATGCAAAAAAAATTTTGTAAATGGTGCAACAATTACAAAACGTCCTCATAAGCGTTTAAGGGGACAATTATTGACTATTGCCAAAATAATAACTGAGGTACATTTAAGAACCGTTTTCAAAAGTGTCCTAAGGGACATTTTTAAATTGTTGTAAAAATATTGTTAGTATCGCGCGCAAAATGTTGTCAGAAATATGTTTTTTGCAACAATTTTTACATGTTGCATTAAAAAGTGTTGTCAAAGAGAACAAATGTTGTAGTCGTGATGATCGAAGTGTATATTCTGACAATACTTCGAATAAATTAAGTTTCAATGGTTCACAAATGAATCTTTCGCCAATACTTGGCGAAATGAAATTCTTACAAACTTTTTATTTATCGAAATCTTCATAAAATCTCCTTCATATTTCCTTCCGAACTAAATTTATTTTAGGATATATCGTTTCCGCTCAACATTGACATAGTTGAAATTCCCTATTAACAATTTTATAACAATATTATTATAAATTTTTTAATATGTGTACAAAAATTTTAAAAGACAATTATTTTAAATTAGAGAAAATACTTTGGAAGATATGAATGTCAACCACCAATCAAATTTTGTATGCGTATCAACAACAAAAACAAATCGCATTTTAGACTATTAAATATGTCAAATATAATGCTAGTGCCTGATATGCAGGAGTAGCTTTTTATTAGTCAAAATTTAAAGTAAATAAAAGCACTATCTCTATCATAGAACCCTTGAAACAGACAAGTTCAGGAGGAAAAAGTTCTAGCCACTGATCCATAAAGTAACCTTATCTATAATTTGGTGAATCAAACTCAACATATCATTAAAGAATAATATATGCGAATCATGCATGTTGTTTGCCGTCAAAATTTTAAAATAATATTGGAATACACCAATCTACTCAAAAGAGATCTGATTGACCTTTATGAAGTAATTAATTGAGTTAGATATTTCTGAATGAAATGCATGAAAGTCTCAACGAAAAGCGATGTTTGATGTATAATGCTCTCTATGGGATACTTAAGAATATATGAATGTCAACCGCAAATAACATTTTTGGTGCTCATCAACCACAGCAAAAACAAATCGCATTTTAGACAATTGAACTTGTCAAATATATTGCTACTATGTAAGAGTAGCTTTTTATTTGTCAAAATTTAAAATAAAAGTACTATCTCTATCATAGAGTCCTTCAAACAGGCAATTTCAGGAGGAATAAATTCTAACCCCTGATCCATAAAGTAACCTTATCTATAATTTGGTGAATCAAACTCTCAACATATCATTAAAGAATAATATATGCTAATCATGCATGTTGTTTGTTGTCAAAATTTTAAAATATTTTTTGGATACATGAGAATCAATTGATTTTAAATTAATTAAATAAAATTTTTTTTTTGTGTATAAATAGGCATTAGTTCTTTTCTGTTTCTAATAAAAATCATAGCATGACTTTAAAGGGTTATATAGGAGAAGGTTCTCAGTAACCCTCAAAGGCTTCCATGGCATTTACACAGGGATGTGGAAATCGTGGGATCCTGTTGACGGGTTACCGAAAGCTTTCATCCTTAAATATGGCTTGCATACGTTTTGGTGAAATAAAAGCTATGGGTTAGTTAAACGTAAGTTTTTCTTATTATTTTTGGTTTGCTGCTTCTTATTTTATGAGAGACAAAAGAATAACAAGGAGTTGGGAAAACCGTAAACAAAAACTCTTTTTTCCAAGTTTCAGTTTATCACATTCTAAAATAGAATTTAATACCGAAGTTTACCACATCTTATACAATAATTTAACACAAGATTAAACTCCTACTTTTTCATTAACTCGAATTAGTCGAAAACTCTTGAAGTATGAATGTTTCTAAATGGTGAAATATCGGTATTGAATACCCTTATATGAAATACACGTATCGTATTTATGGTATTTCATTTTTTCTCATTATTTGATTTCTAGTAAAATATATGATTTTCTCAAATATCAATATATATATATATATATATATATATATATATATATATATATATATATATATATATATATATATATATATATATATATATATATATATATATATATATATATATATATATATATATATATATATATATATATATATATATATATTGTTATTTTCAAGACAATAAAAATCTTCAATGTTATTTTTTATCTTAATCCTTACTTATATGAAGCCGCCGCAAACTCGCATGAATCATTCTTTGGGATGGATTTCAAGACAAAAAAAATCTTCAATGTTCTTCTGTTTAGAACAAAATATTTTTCTACCTTCGCAATCTATCTCACATAATAGTGTAGATGTTGTTGTTGTTTTTGTTGTTTTTGTTGTTGTATTTTTGCTCATTTGATAGATTGCAACTGCAAAAAATCATTCTTGCTTCAAAGAATGGAACTTAATTTTTGAAAAGTTAAACAAAGAAGGGAGTTCAATCTTTGAAAAATTAAACAAAGAATGAAGCTTAACTTATCAGAAGATGAATATCAACAAAGATATTAATTAATAAGAGCAAATATTTGTTTTAAATAATTTATTTTAATATTCTGCGCAAATAATGTAATTTCAAAGAAAAAATGAATCATACACTTTGGTTTTTATCATTACCGAGGTGATAGATAAAATAAGAAGATAATTTACCTTGATTTTCTTATAGAACCGAGGACTATAATAATCAGATTTTACTATAAATACTCTCGTTAAACATATTTTACTCTAATACTAACTTATATATAGTCGTCCAAAATAGAGGAAATATTGACCACCTTCTATTTCATGAGTTGCTACTACAAAAAATCTTGTTGGATGGATTAGCATAAAAAAATTTGATCGAGAAACAGATCTTTAGGATGGATTGCTAGTGTAGAAAATAAAAATTTTCATGGTGAAAACAAATAACTTTTCATAAGTTGGATAATTATGAAGTATTTTTGGATATGCAACATAATGGTACGTTACAAAATTTGGATTTCCCCAAAAATTTATTGTAAACAATGTATTTTAGTATTATATACAAACAATGTAATACAAAAAAATAGCTTATTCACCTCGGTTTTTTATTTGAATCGAGGGACATGTTAAGCGATTTTTTAATGGATTTTCAGCGGCCTTAAACAAAATTTGTCGTTTATTTAATGATTATCAATGCTCTAGCATGAATGAAGCATGAAACACTTGAAACCTAAAGACGCTTGAAAAAGTTCTCTATGATAGATTGCAAGAGAAAAATATCATTTGGGTTTAAGATTTGTTTTCTTAAATATTTATTTGAACTGAAAATCAAATATATAAATATTAATTTTAATTATCTTACCCATTTTTTCACAAGAAACAAATGCATACAAGATTCGTAGAGAATAATCTTGCATTCAATATTTGATCTTCCCCAAAATTTAATAATTCGAAGATCTAAAATCTAAATCTTCATGGAGTTTGATTTTTATCTAGATCTCTAAGGAATTTTATTTTTATTTTAATATTATGTGTAAACAATGTAATATTCTGGATAAACAATGTAACAATTTAAAAATCAAAAATCAAAATCTTACCCCTCAAATTTCTAGATAAACCGAGAGATATGATATGATAGTTTTGCAAATAATAAAAGTGTTGTTGATGGATGTTATACCCCAATTTTTGCCCCTAAGATCCCTTCATCATGTCATCTTAATTCAATCACAACAAGATCACATTAGGGTTTGATTCTTCTCCCTATCTTTAGTTTTTTCTCTAGGAGGAATGACCAAGCACCTTGACTTATATTTTATGATCATTTATATTTTGTATTGATTATCCTTAATCTAATAAATGCAATGAGTGTTTGCCCCAATTGTTGATGTTGTAGGTGAAAGCACAATGCATTCCATCAAGATTGATCTAGGGATTCATTAGTTCATTTATGTGCCTTCTTCAACAAAGCTTCATTAAGGCTCAAGCCTCATCATTAAAGATGTTTTGAAGTAATGTCATGATAAAGTCTTTTATGATTCATCATGACTCAAGTTATCATATTTAGTTCAAAAGTACAAGGGTTGATTGAAGAAGTTTGACTCAAATGAACAAGTCTTTGATTTCAATGATCACAAGTGCATATCTCCTTAAATTCCCAAGATTTGGAAGTAGCTCTGATTGCAATGGTTTATCCTTATGATCCTCAACAAATTATAATCACCTAACAAATGTATTTGTGCAAGAAGGTTGGTCAAAATTGCAAAGGTTTCCCAAAGCATTTTCTTTCTCTAGGAGTTAGGGTTTTGAACTTCAAAGGGGTATATCTTGCTCATCTTTTGGAATTTTTGAATGATTCCAAATACATACTTTTCCTCAAAGGGGTTTTAAAAAATCACTTCAAAAGTTTCAGGGATTTTTCGTGTGGA